CCCCGGAACCTGTTCTATTATACCAACAAGTCCGAGTACCTAATCCAAACCTATCCACATGCTCAAAACACCATGAATAACACCAAAATTAAGAATCGATGATCAAAACACAAGGTGAACCTCTCTTAAGTTCAACAGCTTCCAAGCTTCCAACCATACATCTGATTCAAGCCTAACCAATCCGGATTACATCCAAACGCTGCGCACAAATCCCAAATGATAAAACGAACCTATTTCAAGTTTCAAAATAATAATCTGAATCCCATATCATCAAAGTCAATTCTCGGTCAAACTTAGGAACTCTCAAAACCTTCAAATTGCCAACTTTCGGCAAATAGAGCCAAAACATCCTAGGAACCTCCAAATCCAAATTCGAACATATGCCCAAATCCAAAATTACCATACGAACCTATTGGAATCATCAAATCACCAATCCAAAGTCATTTATACAAAAATCAAATATTGGTCAACTCTTTCAACTTAAGCTTCCAAAATGAGACTAGGCTAGCGGTTGGACATAGATTTGGTTTAAACTTGAAAAATAAAAATTTGAATTTATGTTAAAAAATAATTTTTGGAAGTTGAAATTGTATTTGGGTATGTGTTTTATTTGAAAAAAAGTTGAAACTTTATGAGTGGTAGAAATATTTTCACCCAAAAACTGCCATAAACTAGTTTATGTGAAAATAATTTTTTTTTCTTCAAAACGTTTTCAAAAATTGATCATAGTCCATGAAAATAATAATATTTTTTATTTTTATTTTTTGAAAAAAAAATTGCCAAAATTTATGGTCAAACGGAGGCTAAGTGTCCCCAATCACTCTCAAAATTTTCCGAGACCAAAACAACCATCACCGCAAGTCACTAAACAACAATAAAACATACGAAAAGAATCAAACAGGGGCAAAAACGATCAGGCGGATCGTTACATGTACCGAAATATATATTATGTTACACAATGCACATATTATTGATTATAACATATACATAAAATTTTAAAATTTTTATTTCCTTTATTCTCTTAATTCAACAATTAACTTTATGCAAGTAACAAGACATTTTCAATGATCAAATTTATTTATTTATTTATGTACCATTTTCTCTCTATGGGCTGATAGTTGCTGATTTTGGATAAAGACCTTGTCAACAAAAATATTTTCATTTTCGTATTTTTGAGTACTTTAATTAAGATATTACAGTCTATATCTCCATGCACTAGTTAATATTCAAATTACAAATCAAAGTTACTGGACCGAATAAACCAGAATCGAAAAAAAAAAAATCAAACCATAACGAATTAAATTAGGTACGATACTACTATAGCATTTAACAAACTGAATACCAAAAATACAACCTGAAATATCTAAATAATTTACCGTGATGACCTACAAACACTCCTAGTTGGAAGGTAGTCGCTTTGTGGTTTGTTATTTCCGTGCTTCTCGTACAGTTGGATTCCTTTGACATAGAAGAATCTGCTATGATATATACTCCCTCCGTTTTAATTTATGTGAATCTATTTCCTTTTTAGTTCGTGCCAAAAAGAACGACTCCTTTCCGTATTTGGAAACAATATACCTTTATGCAATAATTTATAGCCACACAAAATATATGTGACTCATTTTACAATACAAGTTTAAAAGTCTTCTTTTTTTTTTCTTAAACTCTGTACCCCGTCAAATATATTCACACAAATTAAAACGGAGGGAGTAACTCTTTAACGACTAGGGAATGCTAATTAAATAGAGAAATTGGCACCAGGTGACAACATATAAATATAGAAATTGACACAAGGTGACAACATATAATAAGAATTGGCAAACTTTTGACATTAGATTATATTTGGCAAAGCAGCCCCAAAAAATTGGCTATGTATAATCAAATCTACAAAAAGCATACTTCCCTATTTATTATCTCCTTGTAATCCCCTCTCTACCTCTCTTTGTTGGCTCCCTCTCCCTTTCTCTCTAATATCTCTCACCTTGTGTCAATTTCTCAACTAAAAACCGGTCTATCACATGGTGTATGTCCTCTAATTTGATGCCTGGACGACACATAAGAAAGCCGATTTCATATCTCTTTTTCGGCAATAATCTGTTTGGGCGACGTTTTTTCAATTGTTTTTTAATTTTAATGGTCATTTTTCTTATCTTCAATATTAATTAATGGGTGAAAGATATCTGTAACAACTTTTGTTTTGTCTCTGACGATTTCTTTTTAAAATTCTAAAGGTACTTTGAAGTTGAAAATGCTTGAAGAAAATTTTTGAAGTTGAAAAACAGTTTCCGAGTTTTGCCAAGAAGAAAATTGAAACGCGTATTGAAAAAAAGAAGTATTAATTTTTGCAAGTAGTGCCCAAAAAATGCCAAGTTTTCCTTCACGTTAAAACTTTTCGATCTATTGAACTTATAAATGGAGAATGTGTTCTCGTTATATATGGGCTTATACACGAGAAATTTTATTATGAGGGAGACACAAGTATTACTAGTTGTGTATCAATATATCTGTAAGATATATTTTTTGTGTATATCCGCAGAAAATTATGTGTTATACACAAAGATATACAAAAGAGAAAAATAAAATTTTGATATACAAAGAAAATTAAATTAATATTTAATATACACAAAGAAGAAAAATAAACTTGTGACATACATTTTGGTATATACATGTTTTGATGTATTACACACTGCCATAGATAACAATACAATTATTTTCGTTATGATATTTATTTATATAGAGAAAATAATAAATTTAAAGAACTATGTTTATAATTTCATATTTTGGATATGCAAAAAAGAAAAATTAAATTTTAGTACACATTTGATATACACAGAAAAGGAAAATAAAGTTGTGATAGATATTTTGATATACATATTATTATTGTGATATACATTTATTGGCTACCTGGTACCAAATATTTACAACTAGAATTTTTTTCTGCTAATTATATGAGTATTTTTCATATCATGTTAAAATCCCAATTAAATTATCCTACTAAGATTATATAAATATTCTTATATATACTATTGTTTAGTTGCCTTTCTTTTTCGGTCCACCAAGTCGGCCTACTAAGGTAGTCCAATCTGGTCAGAGAACCCGTGTGCGTCCTTAAAGGGAGATGTGAACGATCGAAAATTGGAGAATGATAATTTTTTGGTTATCCATGGTGGTATTGTTGCTGGTAAAGCTAGAAAGTAAGATTGTTATTTCTTGCTTTGTGCTCTGAAAAATGGAGAGAGATGGTAAGGGTGGGGGAAGAGTCTAAGTGAAAAAGAAAAAGTTTTTTTTTTTTTTTTTGAAAATAAAATGAAAAAATAATGATGTGTCATAAAAAATATGATATGGAGGACGACGTGTCATCCACATTGTGCATTTGAAGAACACGTGAGGTAGGGAGGATTTAAAGTAGTGTGTTTTAACAATTACGAGTGTGTGGATGAAACCTTATAGGATATAGGGACCGGAATAACAAAGCGGGACAAACAAAAGTTATCTATTAGGCTATTGTGCCAAGTTTTATATTTTGAGATGCCGTCTTAAAATGCGTTCTCCCTTAACATTGAAGACACCTAATTCAAATAAGCGAACGACAACCAACAAATTTGATTTTCCAGATCAACACAAGAAGGATGTGTTAGTACGGTCAGCTTCAAAGGTGGTACTTTTATTTAGTTTGGAAAAGGGGAGAACGTCAAATTCCCAATTCAAAAGAAATACTAATGCTTTCCTTTTTCTTCCGTATTTATTCTCTAATCATTCATCCCTCCGTCACCAAACCCACACACCATCCGCTTTCTTCTACCCTTCAGATTTCTTCTTCCATATAACTTCACCAAAAATTCGAATATCCCCTCTTTACCCTTCTCCCAAACCCTATAAAATACCTATTCACGCTTTCTCTCTGGACCTTTTCCGTCGCCCGTAAATGGAGAATTCAAAAAGTAATAACAACAACAACGAAGCAGCAGCAGCAGCTAAAAGCACAACCGCCATCGCGGAGGCGGCCGATGCCAACAACCAACAACGAGTAAACCCCGATGGCGGCAATTGGCCATATGGGGATAGTAGTTCGCAAGTTGTGGAAATCAATGCAAATGGGGAATCGGGTGTTTCTGCTGCTGTGGATAGTAATGGCGGAGCTTCTCGAAGAACTCCGTTCACCAACCTTAGTCAGGAGGATGCTGATCTTGCTCTCGCCCGCACTTTACAAGAGCAGGTTTTTGCCCTATCCCCATTACTTGGCGTGAATACTGATTAGGTTTCAGCTTTGAACTGAAGGAGTTTTTTCTTTTTGTATTTTCTTCCTTATTCCCATAGACTAAGGGTGTGTTTTTAAATTTAATTTCAACTCCAACATGTTTTGCTTTGTATTTTTAAATTAGGATTGGGGTTATTTTACATCTTAAAGATTCAGCTTTTGTAACCCTAGATGAGCATGTTGTGTATATCAGGATCTTGGATGATGTGATTTGCTATATACCACCTATAACTATATTACATCATGTGTTTCGTACCTTCCTATATTTAGAAATAATTTTACTTTAAATTTGTCATTTTACTTTTAACGAGATGATTTATAGCCACATAAATGTGTATGCCTTGTTTTAGACCACAAGTTTCAAAAGACTTTCTTTTTTAAACTCCGTGCTAAGTCAAATAATGCCACATAAATTAGGATGGAGGGAGTATAAGATTCTGAATAGAAGTTTGGTGCACATGGGAAAAGAGTACTTTCTATAGTATCTGAGAACTATCTGAAGTCATTATGCTTTTATTTGAATCAAGTTTGGTGCCAAGTCATTATGCTTTTATTTGAATCAAAGCTTTTAACTTTTATTTGAGGTAAAGATAATCTAAATACTAAAAGCCCTTTGTAGAATGATGGTAGCTCACACTTGATTGAAGTAACTTATATAACATACTTAAGAGTCAAATTTCTAAAGCATTAACAGAAAATAAGTTGTTCACTGATAGCTATCATCATCCCAGATATCAGGCCTGTGAAAATTTTGGTCAGTTTGGTGTCAAAATTATTGGCTTCTATATTCGTTAACCTGAGGTAAACTTGCAGCTAATTTTGAATGAAAAAATAAATGTCGAATATTTCAACTAGCATTCTTGATTTTTAATCCTTAACTGAAGCATCAGTGTTGCGATGCCTAGAAGAGTAGTGATTGAACAAGAGGCTTTGGCGAGATGATTGTGTGTGGGGGTTTTTTTGTGTGTGGGGGGGGGGGTGAGTTGCCTGTGTAGAGCATCCTTGGTTTAAAAAACTGGTGCTGTTTTCCATTGTGACGCTTCCAGACAATCATGGTTATTTAGAGGAACAAGATGGCAGACAGATTATAGGCTCGTGGGGCTGAGACAAGCCCATGAAAGTATTCTGGCTGGGAAAATAAGTTGAAGACAAAGCCGGAGAGCAAAGAGTCATAAAAAGAGAAATTGAGAGTTAACAGGAGGAGTATGGAAAACCAAAAAGAAAGAGGATCAAGAAAAATAAAGAAATGCAAAAAAAGGAAAGCGAAAATGAGAAAAGAGTAAAAGGGAGGGGAATATGGGGAGAGGAAAATGAGGAAAGAGTAAAAGAGAGGGGAATATGGGAAAAGGAAAAAAATCTATTAAGGAGAGGTTAAATTTACTACTATATGACAAGAGATCACATTACATGCAACAGACTTAATATAACATCATAACTCCAGTTTTTTGGTTGGTTGAATCGCTCTTTTGGGAACCACAACCGAATCGAATAACTAAGTAATGCTGATACACACCCCAGTCAAATAGGCCCGAGCAGTGTTATCAAAAGCGCGCTTAAAGTACACTTAATACCGGAAACGAGGCTCAAAACATGTTGAGCGCTTCGTCTCGCATAGCGGGTGCTTCAGTGTTGTCATCAAGGCTCTAAAGCATACTTTTCTTTGCCAATGAGCGTAATCCTGAAGAGGCGACACTAAGCAGTTGATATTTCACTTTATTGTAAATTTTTTTCAATTTCTTTGTCCGTATATTTGGTATTCATGCTTATAGATATTAGTCTTGGACTATACATACATATTTGTAGTTTTTCTCCATTTGTGCCTTTCTTCGTTAAAACTGCGCTTAAAGCTCCAATAGACCTTAGAAATTTTTTGGGCTTTTCGCCTTTGATAATATTGGGCCCAAGTTAGTTTTTGACCAAATTCAGAATGCATCAGCTTTTTATCTGCAGCAGTACTCTTCATGCCGAACTATATTACTAAGATGTTTCCCTGACTTGTTGCTTTCTGGTTGTGATCTTGAAATATAAAAATGTAAACGTTCATTTAACCTCATTTGGAACTTGATAGGGATCAAATGAAACTGGATTTTCTCTTGAGTTAGGGAATAAAATCTTCTGTGATTTGTTTGTCCTTTTCAATCTTTGCTTATAAATGAGGTGACGCCCTTATGTTTAATCTTATAGGAAAGGGCTTATATGATGCTTAGCATGAACGGTGACGGGATTGATTTCGGGAGTTGGGATGGTGGGAGCTATGACCATGATGAGGAGGATGATGAAGATTTTGATGATCCAAGCGAAGAAGATGAAGATGATAGTAATGTAGATGAGGATGAAGAAGATGGAGAAGATGCATTCGATGTGCATGCTCATGATGAAGCTGGCGAGGATGAGAACCAAGGGATTGAGTTAGACCCATCGGCTTTTTCTAGTGATGAGGCCTATGCCAGAGCATTACAAGATGCCGAAGAGAGGGAAATGGCAGCAAGATTATTGGCCCTTGCCGGGATAAATGAAAGTTAGTCTTTTTGTTGAAACTTATTCTTACAGTTGTTGTTAGCCCTTTCATTCTGTTCTGTTATCTTGTAAAATATTGACAAATCTATGACTTTTAGTGTATGTTGGACAAGCTCAAGATCGAGAGGATCGTGGTATTAATTCCCAGGTAACAATCTGTTATAGAATTCTAATGGCTCTAAGTAGCATTTCTGGCCAGCTTAACAGTATTGCTTCTGAATATTAAATTTATAGTATCTTTATATGCGTCAATTCATCAGAATTTTCATATTCTTGCATGGATCTTGCATCTTGAACTCTTTGAGCTTCCTTTTTCATAAATTCAAGAAAGGTCAACGTTGATAAATTTTGAGATTGGTAATATGTTGAATTCACATAATCTTCATCTTGGATAATTGCATCCACCTGTCCCGTTGAAGGGACAAGCCCATGCAGAATATGTTTACGACAGTTTTTGGTATTAGTGTAACAACAACAACAACAAACCCAGTGTAATCCTACAAGTGGGGTTTGAGGAGGATAGTGTGTACGCAGGATAGATAGACTGTTTCCTATAGACCCACAACCCAAGGACAAATGAATCTGGTATTAGAGTGATACTTAAAAATAAAAATAAGTTGGGAAGTTAAAAGATTTGGTACACGCACACAGAGTCACACACACATATATTTGTTTTTCTCTTGTGATGCACACACATATATTTATGGAATTACGTTTTATCAAAACATTAAGTGTACTGCAGTAGTTCTATTCTATTAGTCTAGATATTGCCAGTACAAACAGTCATCACCAGCATTGTCACCACTGCAATAGCCCAATAAAGTTCTAGTCCTTCCTTCTATGGATCGTATAACAAGACTATTGCATATACTAAAATTTTTGTTACTTAAGGCATGCCAATAGGGCATTACTGATGAGAGAGAATTTCCTGTCAGAGAAGCATACGGTAAGCCTGTTCCCAAGTAAGAAAACAAAATTTCGATTTTCGAATCTTTGTTTGAAAATATTTTTCACAAGCCGTAATACGACCACTAAATGTTTTCAAGATGCCACTAATAACCAGTGATTTGTAAGTGCTTTTCCTTTAAATGATTCAATTTAGATAGTTGTTTGTGGCTCTGGTAGAGACTAGATTAACAGGTTATTACTTCTACAGAATCCTCCATTGCCAATAAAGTCATGGGCAACTAGGTCAAGTCTTACTGTAACAACTTTAAATGCATTTGGAAAAATTCTTTTTAGAAAGGGTATAGATTTAAATTTTCGCGCAATCTGAAGACGAAAGGTGTTAGAAAATAGAGAGAATGGTTAGATGATTTGATGAGATAATGAAATGCAAAATACTGCTATTGTAGGTTGGAGATTCATAGACATCTTATATAACCAATGAGAACTTAAAACTAAACCTAACATGCTAACACTCTAATACGCTAATGCTTGACATTCTAACACGACCCCTCGAACTTAAGATTGAGAAAATCTCAGTTTTCCTTATTTGAAAAGTTAGGAAAGTAAATAGTCTTTAGAAAGCTTGGCAGAAAGTCACCATAAGCTTCTGATCACCAAGATTGCGCCAGGAAAGTTGTCATAATGGCCGAAAGATGCCAAAGAGCGATGGTGCAGCTGTAATGGTCGCTAGGCATGGTTTCATCAGAAGTCATCGAGAATAGATGCAGTGTCATAACAATCACCAGAAACAAGAGTTTTAGCTATAGCAATCTTTGGAATGAGACAAGAATAGTAATATTTTGCAAAAAATCCCTTCATTATTAATCAGCGCATAAGAATCTCACATTATTAATTGCTGCCTAAGTTGCTCTGACACGACAGTCTAGGTGCTGCACCCGCGTTGACACGATACTAGTATGAATGTGGGTATGGGACCCGTACCGGATCTGGTCAAACAATTTTGGATATTTTGACCATGACGGAAGGAAAAATTCGAGACGAGATACGATTTGATTCCTGAAATCAGATCCAAAACTAGGGTAAATTTGAAGAAAATAGAAAACTTTATCTAGGAAATCAATCCTTCACTTATCTACAACTTGAGAATAAAAAAAAAATTCACACTTTACAAGCTATACGTAAGTATTCCACAAAATTTATCATAATTTTAAAATAATTTTATATTTTTATGTTTTTTTGAATTACTTTTAGCCGGATCCCCGCACCCGTATCCGTATTAGGATCCGTATCCCCGAATCTTAGAATTTATATTTCGAAGGATCCGACCTCTATATCCGCACCTGTGTCGGACACCCGCACCCCCTGTCCGAGCAACTTAGGTTGACCCATTACATTCCCTTCATTATTTTTCACCATATAGACAATCCTTGCATTATAATTTTCGAAATAAATAGCCTATGAATACGAAGCAAACGACCCCTAAGGTAATTGGTGGATTGGTAAACATTTATTTTGTGGGAGATCTTTCGACTCATTCTTTTTGGTGTTTTCCTGAAGTAGGAGGACCTCTAATTCGAAAAGTAATAGAAGATGCCTATTTGTGAAGTGTTGCATTGAGGAGGAAAGTAGTCATACGGAGGGTTGATAAATGGGAGAACCACGGGTAAAAAACTTGACTCGTAATCAACAAAAGGTATTATGGTGGAATTGTTATTCTAAGAGAACCACTAGTAATCTTGAAGAAGCCCTTTAAAAACCCTTTTATATGCCTGTAATATACTCAATGTAAGACACTGTGTATGCATAATATTCACATGTAACCTAATTTTACTGACAGGCGTGGGCTTAATATGGACTTATGAGCGTGCGAGCATATACATAATATCAATGTCAGGTCTGATATTACGGTTTGCACGTGGATTCCTTCGCTTTCTTCAGATATAGACAGGATAAACATGTATATTTCTTCATGTTTACTTGAGGTTATCTCAGTCTGTTCATCTACAACGTCATCATTTTCTAGGCATAGAATTTCTGCACAATGGAGAGTAAGACGAACTTTGTGATTTCGTATTAAGTTTATGTAGTTAACCATACATGTCTGTTTTGTTGCTTTTAGGATGCATGGGAGGATGTTGATCCTGATGAGCTTTCTTATGAGGTACTTCAGTTTGTTGGATTTGTTGTTTCTCTTTTAGACATCTTTCATATATTTTACTTCACATGCTTGGTATTGTTCATTTGTCTGTACTCATGCAGGAACTTATAGCACTGGGTGAAGTTGTTGGAACTGAGAGCAGGGGTCTTTCTGCTGATACAATTGCCTCTTTGCCTTCAGTGAACTATAAGGCACAAACTGCATCAGAAGGGACCACTGATTCGTAAGCTAACTTACCCTATGCTGTACTATTTTCTATATGTGAAAGTGCTCACAACTTGACACTTTTGCGCTCCAGGTGTGTTATATGTAGATTGGAATATGAAGATGGTGACCAATTGACTGTGCTATCCTGCAAACATTCTTATCATTCTGAGTGTCTGAACAATTGGTTACAAATAAACAAGGTATTGCAGCCCCCTCTCTCCCTCTTTCTTCCCCATCCACAATCCTTGAACTTTGAATGAGAATATATTGCAAATGGGTATTGCAATCTTAGCAGTCCTTTGTGCTTGCTATGATATCTTTGCTAAGCCATTTATTATCTTTGCTTTGCAGTGTTTGAGTCGAAATGTCATGTCATCCTATTTTTTCTGTTTTGTTGTTTGTAGGTCAAGTCTCCTCTACCTTCTGGACCTTCTTTTAGAAACTACACCAGTTTTGTCTGATATGTGGCTCAAGCCAAGTCTTAAATTTTGTGCTTTAGCTCCATCATGGTCTGCTGGTATATGTCAAGTTACTTGAACTCGTTTGCTGAGTGTTAACTGTGCTTCTTTTACAAATGCATTTCACAGTGAGCTAGATTGTCCTCTCATTTTATAGAATTTAGGTAACCTCTCTACGTTGGATGGTGATAGCTGGTTGCTCTACGCCTCTTCTCTTTCCCTTTTTTTTTAAGACTCTTGCAGTGACTTAGATCCTGGGCTTGAGTTACTTCACTTTCTAGCTATGTGCCAGACCAAATAGGAATTATTCTTATCCCATTTTGTGTGACACATTGGAATGGATATGATGATTAAGATGTTGGATTCCCTTGCACATTGCATCGTTTTCTGTGTATTAGTTGAAGAAAAATGTTAATAACTGGTAGTAGATTTGCTGCATTAAATAGAGATAAATCATGGTTTTGATTTCAGCTTCAGCTTAAATGAATTTAAATTCTTGAATTTTATGTTTGTCAAATTATTATGATGCATTTGCTCTCAAGCTTTACTATGAGTTTCTCTAGTCAAGTTATAGAACCTGCTTTTATTTGATAACCACTTGCAGAAAAGGGGGGGAAAAGGTGTGACATAGAAGTAGTAGTTGTTTCCTGCCTCTGCCTCTCTCCTCACGTGGTTCCTTCATCCTGTGTGGTCTATTAGTTAAAGTATGTGTTTAATGATCGCAATAGCAGGATAATATTAGCTATGTCCGCAAACAACTTACTCACTGGCTAAAAGTCGAGTGATCAGCCCATGCATCCTTTTGTTCTAACCTATATTTACAGATTGTTCACATATTCCCTGTCCTACTTGTTGAATAATAACATATTGTTACTTTTTAGTACTCATTTATATAAGATTGTTATTTCCATGGCTGCAGTTGATTGTTGTACATGATTTTTGTGCATGCAGGTCTGTCCAATGTGTAGCACTGAGGTCTCCACCTCCGGAAACAGCTAGCGTTATTGTGCTACTGAATTGAAGTTAGTGACTTAGTTCAATACAATCATTGATAGTAACACAGAGACTAATATCTGCTTGTTTGACCAAGTCTTTGATCGCTCTTGGCTGGCTTCTTTGTTCTCTGTTTCTCATATATCATGAGTGTACCAAGTTTCTAATAATTCCCTCTTTCTTCTTTTTCCTTTTAATTTTTTTTCCCACACCATCTCATCTGGCAGTTGTGATGGCATTTGAGTTTTACATCACTACCCTCTTCATTCTCTCCATTGAAAAGTATGCCTTTAAGTTTTAAATTTGGAGGTTTGGTGCGGTTAATATGAGCCAAAAGCTTGACAAATACGAGTCTTCGCGAAAGCCTTTAAGTTTTGATTTTTCATATGTTTTTATATTTTCTTCTGTGCTATTTTAGTCTCTTTACGCCTTATTCATTAAGATATTTGTTGTCACTCAATGCATTCGTTACATTTATTTCGTTGTGGTTTTGTAGAAAGGATCCCACATAATTAGGGGTGTCAAATGTGCGGGTTGAGTTAATTTTTGGTGGGTCAAGATGGGTGAGCCAATAAATACGTTGGTTATTGACCCGTTTAAAAGTTACTTGGGCTAAGATGAGTTGGATCAATGACCCACTTAAAATTTACTTGGCTAAGATGGGTTAGATCAAAATATGCTAAAATTTGGGTCATTGTCCGTTGACAACTCTTACGGAGCTAAATTCTTGTGTCAAGAAAATAAGTGTCAAGAAGTGGAGTGATAAGAAAAAGTCAAATTTACACTAATCTAAAAGGAAAAGTAAAAGTACAATGTTGATGCAGCTACTAAATAGTACTCTATAGCTAAAAAGTAGAGATCACATCTATCCTATTACTTTATCCCTTGAAGTAATCTCACCATAATTCATCTCATGTTCTTCTCTCTACTTCATTCTCTCATGCTTTCCAATTAGTAGTTATTTAACAAAGAACTTAAATTTAATAAAAGTAATAGAGCTTGCATCTTAAATTAGAATATCAAAGATAAAAGAAGACATATTCTTTCTTTATGTTATGTTAAAAAACTACATAAAATGTAAATTATAAAAGTACTGCATATAAACTTACTATATAAAGAATATACAAGCTTGCTTGGTAGCATTCTCGTAACTTCAATGATTAATTGTCTATTGTTTTCGTTACACACACACACACACACACACACACACACACACACANATAAATCATTGCATAAAGGTAAATTATTTCCAAATAGGGAAATGAGTCATTCTTTTTGGCACGGACTAAAAAGAAAATAGGTTCACATAAATTGAAACGGAGGGAGTATTAAGTATTAGACAAAATTATTATTTTATTATTTTTTAATATTTAGAACTTTAAAATCAATTAAAATATTGGTTATTAAATAGTTTTCTTATTTGAATTATGTATAAAGTCCTAATATTTAGGACTTGAAAAGCGATAAAATTTTACCTTATACAAATTCCTTATTTGAACTATCTAACATAATTGTAATACCTTTGATGTTAATTTTTCTAATAATAAGGACTTTGGAATCAAGTAGAAACTCAAAATCAACGTATACCTGCTGTTTCATCATTGTTTGATTTTATGCTGCACTTAAGCATGTCAAAAGATAAAAGAAAGCATAGTTTCATATTAGAAATTAATTAAAGTGAATAGAGTATCTTTTTTAGGGTGAAAAATAGAGTATCTTTTTTACGAAGTAATGTTTTCGTCACTTCGTTTTTTGAAAAACTATTTGTTAGTTTGAGACTTAATGGCACTAGAAAATACATAATAGTGACTTAAAAGTGTAAGTCTCTAATGTCAATGAAAGAAGTTCTATATATCACATAGATATTTGGTTAAAATATTCAAATATAATCCGCAATTACAATTATTATTTTTGGACTAGCTTTTATTTAAAATATATAAGTTCATCATTCGTCTTAAAATAAACATATTGGATCAATTATGTGCTACCGTCTGTTCGGACCAACCATGAAACAATTATAGCTATTTAACCCAAGAATATACTCTCTCTCTTTCTATATATATATATATATATATATATATATATATATATATATTTTATCTAATAATTAAATTGGAATCCACATATCTAATCAACATGAATATCAGGCCGCGTTTGCTATTTGAGATTAAATCCGATTCACAAGTAATTATCTTTGATGTGAACTTTACCCTACATAATCAATGTTATCGGATTCTGAAAGTATTACATAGAGTTGCATCGTTTGTTCTTGTGTTGATAAATGTATATGACGAATAGCTATTGCATGCAACCATAACCGGATATCAAATTAGGAGTTCATGGTTGACCATCTATAGCTATAGGAAGTAAGAGTGTTTATCACTATGTATAATCTCTAGATCAATGAGAATAAACAGATCTACCTATAAAGGATGACGTGAGAAAGCAAGAGCGTCTATCACTATGTATAATCTCTGCACCAATGAGAATGATCAGATCTACCTATTGTCACGACCCAAACCCCAATCAGTCGTGATGGCGCCTAACGCACTTGCTAGGCAAGCCAAGCATAACAGTAACGATTCATAATAACAGAAATGACAAAATAATACAAGTCTAAACTCTCATCATATCATAATATCATCAATACATGATAAATCCCCTAAAACTGGTAAATACAGAGTTATGAGCTCTAAAATGGAAAGTACAAATCTGAAAACTAAATAACAATACTGTCTGAAATAAAGACAACAGTACAATATGGAAAGAGACGCCAAGACTGCGGTCGAGAATGCAGCTCTACCTCGTCTACTGATGACTGGGTCCGACACCTGGATCTGCACAATTAAGTGCAGAGTGTAGTATGAGTACAACCGACCCCATGTACACAACAAGTATCATAACTAACCTCGACGAGGTAATAGAAACAAGAATTATAAATGATACTCGCTATAACTTATATAGTTTATAAATTCAACAAGTACAAAACAATAATATGATCAAATCATAAAGCACAGAAAGAACCATATGTGGTACACAATTACTCAAGTACTCTGCTCAGTCAATGATCATGCATATAAAGATGATATGCAAGTAAATCAGGTAAATAACCAAGGAAACTGCAAGTAAAGATGAAATGCAATAACTAAACAAACACTGGCCAACTTTTCCTCCATATTTCCATTTCCGTACCAAACCACTGATCAATTTTCCTCAAATCTGCATGTACACCATCAAGAAGACACATGAGAGGGTGATCCTAAGGAGATGGATCCATATCCTCACGCTACACGGTGTAGTGATGTGCAATAATTATACTCAGCCCAGCATGGTCACATGTTCAATATTATAATCCGCCCGGCGTGGTCACAGACTCAATATCACGGATCTGTCCGGCGTGGTCACATGCATAATATCACAATTCGCCCGGTGTGGTCACATGCACAATACACAATCTGCCTAAGCGTGGTCACATGCATAACAACACAAATCTGTCCGGCGTGGTCACAAACATAACAACATAATCCGCCCGACGTGGTCACAAGTATAACAACACAATTCGTCCGGCGTGGTCACATGCATAACAACACAATCCGCCCGACGTGGTCATAGAAAACCAGTACAAATCATATCACACAGAAAGAAAATATACAAGATTACATATATATGATCAATTAGTATCAGATTTAATACTCTCGGACTGGTATAAATGACATGCTAAGGTGTATGCATGTATAAAGTGTGCTGTCATAGCTCAAATCGACAGTTTCATCACGAAAATAACAATTATCAAGTTCAATCAGGAGATTAGCCACAATGTTACCTCAAACATGGATCAGATAGCTCACAACAGGGTTACAAATATGAGAAACATCACAACATAAATCTTAACAATCAATTCAAGGTATAACATAACCTAAGTACTACCCCGAGCATGGATAAATACCTCAGTGTTCACATATGGGCTCAAACCCACACACATGCACCACCCATAGCGCGTAGTTATTACAAATAACTTAGGCAACTAGTACCTCAACTAAGTTTAGGCAAGATACTTACCTCAAGCAAGCCAAATCGGTACTTTAAGAATCCCTTCCCATGTGTGTCAACCTCTGGACGACCCGAATCTAGCCAAATAAACTTAATATAATCAATAAAAGCCATAGGAATTGATTCCAAGTGATAAAGCTAAGATCTTTAACCAAAATCAAAAAGTCAACCCCATGCCCGCACCTCGGAACCCGACCAAACTCATAAATTTCGGATACCCATTCTGATACGAGTCCAACTATAAAAAAATTATCCAATTCCAACCACAAATCGACCCTCAAATCATCAAATCTCACTATCCAATAACATAGTCCAAAACCCCCTAAATCCCACCTTTAATTCATGAAAATTAGGTGTAATAATCAATATCTAACTCCAAAATTGAATAAACTTCACTTACCTCTTCAATTATGATGAAAAGTACTCCAAAACTCGCCCTAGACCGAGCTCCACAATCCCAAAAATGAGAAAAACACTGAAACCCTTCAATTATAAAACATGTCCAGCAATCTCGCACCTGCGGTCACTTAAACGCTTCTGCAGTACCGCTTTTGTGAAACAAGGGACACATATGAGAACCAATCCAAAAGCCCGACCTTCCGCTTCTGCGGATACTCCTTCGCACCTGTGAGTCCGCTCCTGCGGACTCCTTCCGCTCCTGCAGACTCCTTCCGCTCCTGCGCAAGTGCATCTATGCACCTGGGCTGCTTCTGCGGACTTCTCCTGCCAGACCCAACTTCAGCACATGCGCATACTGGCTGCACCTGCGGCTCCGCATCTACGGCCAAGCCCTCCGCAGATGCGAAAACACCAGCAACCTGAAACTTTCAGCAACTTCCTCTAAGTCCATAAATAGTCCGAACTCAATCCGAAACACTCTCGAG